ATAACGTCGTATAAGAAAAACTAATTTTCCAAGTTTGATCATAAAAAATCTATAAACAAGCAAACTACAACAGTTAACTTATTAATAAGAATAGCATGGGAGTCTTAAATTTACAATTTACAAATTTAAATATGCAAATGTTGTTTATGTTTACTAAAAAGATGGCGATTATTTGTCACGATTCGAATACTAACCGAATGGGTTTTCAAAAGGAGATGGAGCAAGTTATTTAAGTAATATTAATTCGTAACAACCACTTGTTTATATTACGGTATTAGCATATACAGTAGTATTTTTTCGTTTTAGGCTGGAATGAAAGAAAACTTCCTCTGTTTAAGATCCTGGAGTAAAGCCATGTGTTTCTATCAGCATATTTAGATTGTCTTTGCAAACAGTTGTAATTCAGTGGTTTAGCGACAGCTTACTCAAAACCAAACTCATTCAGTTTCGTTTATCAAATCGATTGAATACTGATTTTAGTCTTTACCTGGATGAAACTGAAGTTCTCCCTACACCGAATGTCAAGTTCCTTGGATTGACCTTAGTCGAGAGACATAATTTTTAATGGGTCGCCGGAATTGTACCCCCCTGGAATTGTACCCCCCATTGATTGTCGACGTCATTTTGACGTCACGCCTAGGGGGATACAATTCCACCCCGTACACTTTGATTTTAACATAATCTAATATATTTAATGTGGGCAAGTGATCAGTGAACCGGATGATTGTATTACAAATTAAAAAGAGCAGGAGATGTACGGCCCGGATTTGTACCCTCTGGAATTGTACCCCCCGGAATTGTACCCCCTGCCAACATCAAATTATTTATGGACGGTGTGGAATTGTACCTCCTGGAATTGTACCCCCCATCTGATAACCAAATGTGTACGAGGTGGAATTGTACCCCCTCCCCCTATAAGTAACATCTTCAAACGACTTTCAATAAACTTAAGTGGTATCATCTATCTATCTATATATTAACTAGCTGACCCGGCGAACTTCGTATCGCCTAAGTTATAGGTTTCCCCTAAGACAGACCGATGGAAAGAAAGTAACGTTACGTTTAATTTTCAAGATGATCTCGTTCGCATCGCTCAATCACGTCCTGGTTGAAGTTCGTTCGCTACGCTCACTCACCTTTGGGTTGGAGCTCGTTCGCTACGCTCACTCACCTTTAGGTTGGAGCTCGTTCGCTGCGCTCACTTGCCTTCAGGTTAGCTCGTTCGCTACGCTCACTCGCCTCCAAGTTAAAGTTCGTTCGCTACGCTCACTCACCTTTTGGTTGCAAATTAGCTGTTGTCATAAATGTAAAAGAAATAATAGTGCTGCACCCTGTTGGTAATCCTTGTAACTTTAATGCTATTGAACATCATAGAACAGAACCAACTTGTTTAATTGAAACAGCTGTTAAGATTCATTAATTCCATTTCTCATAAGGTTAACATGGGAAACTCGAGAGCCACTGGGGCGGAGCCCTTTTAAGAATTTCGAAACGGGAAATAGTTTACGTCCGATTCGCATACCTACAGAATTTACACACCAAATTTCATAACGATCGGTGAAGTCGTTCCGGAGGAGTTTGCAGACAAACACTGTGACACGAGAATTTTATATATTAGAAGAAGATAGACAAGCATGTTTCTTTAAAACTTTTTTTCTCAGCTCGTGTGCATCACAGGGAAAATCTACGCATACCTCTAGAAAGATATTTTCCTGTAGAAGTGCAGAATCCTTTTAAAAATTAAAAAAAGCTCAAATATAAGCACATAAAATTAATTTGAAATTTTGAAAATTTAACATGGGCTTTATGGGTTGCCATGCTGGTAACGAAATAACAACGAAATATAAACAGAAAATCAAAACAAATGGAAGAAATTCCAATCACATGTTTTATTTACAGTGTGGGATGAAAATAGAGTAGCCTGGACCTTTAAATTCCATCACCACCAACAGACTGCGCTGATCTAAATGACTAAATTTCTGTCGAATACACAATGGTGTTTACCAAGTCAAACTGTTTGAATGAGATATAGCAACTGTTATGACCCATCAACTTTGTCAGCAACAAAATATAAGGTAGAAAATAAAATTTAAGACATGCTTTCGGTGAATGGCTCACACAACTACATGTTTTATAATTATAATAAAAAAATAGTGACAGCTGGTCCATATAGTCTACCTCAGTATCCAATACTCCAATACGTGTACGTTACATGTTTTTGGTCGAGTTTTCGACCACTACTAGTTAAAATTAAATAGTAGTGAATGCCTTCTAAAGTGAAATATGTTGGATCGATTTTTAAGCATATAAATAACATTAATCCATTTGAATTCTTTCTTCAGCTACTAAAACATAAACGTGTTTCACCGATATTGGCTTTGGAAATCAGACGTAACTTGGCAATGTGATAAGATAAAATCACACTCGTGTGATTCACCTATAATTTCCAACCTAAATACTGTTTTGATTTTACGTGATAATCACAATAGATAAGCTCCTAAACATAATATTCAAAACTAGGGCGCCGATGGTGATTAAACAATTTTTTACTAGCCTAAAGGAATAAAGCTTTTAGTTAAAGATTTGACACACTACTAAGACCAACATTGGATTTAACTTATTTTTATTTTGAGTTTACTTAGTTTTCAGTTTGAATTCAACATCACATATTATTAAGGTATTACAATCAAGTCCATTATAATTTCAGTGCATGAAGAGGTCTGAGTCAAATTGTGGGGGGTAGAATTCCAGGGGGGTACAATTCCGGATCGTACACTATCTTCTGCGGACACGAGGGGGTACAATTCCAAGGGTGTAAAATTCCGGTTCTATAAGAAAGACTAGACTGACGGGGGTACAATTCCACCCCGTACACTGACCAAATAAGCGTGAGTTTTAACGGGGGGGTACAATTCCGGCCCGTACAGTATTTTAGATGCCAGTGGATTTAATCGAACCACTCGTGCATAACAATATTAAAGTTCTATGAGGGGGGTAAAATTCCACCCCGTACACGCCGTTTTGGTCGAGAAAATGAGACGTCATCGTGACGTCACTAACCAGCAGGGGTACAATTCCAGGGGGGTACAATTCCGCCACCCCATTTTCATGACCATTTCAAACACATTTCAAAGAAACTTAGTTGTGGTATTTTTATTTTGCGTCACCTCAAGAACAACGAAAATCTGGAGATATAAATGATTTATCCTGGAAGTCGTGCGCCAAAAATATGATAATGAAATAGAAATAAAATTCTTATATTTCCTGTATTTTATTTGTCATTGATAATTTTGTAACCTTGGTCTGACCTTTGACCACTCGTGCATTGCATATAGCTCTTGCAAAATGTTTGATGCTCTGCTCAGAAGTTGAGTTGATTAAGTTCATTTTGAGCTGTGAGAATCGCTTGAATGTTAACAGGGAGACGACGTAGCCAGAGTGCTCGAAGAATGTTGTCCTGTAGTTGGGCTGGACCAATCAGAGTACGTAGGTGGCGTAAGAACTGCGATGGCTTGCGATCTCCGATATCTTCATCACTGATCAACTGGCGAACGCATTCTTCTTCACTAGTAGACAGTCTTTCTATAAGCTTCGAACGAAGTACCGCGTAACGATTCGTTGCAGGCGGATTTGTGATGATGTCCTCTACTTCCACTGCGTAACGTGTTTCAAGCTGAGAAACGACGTAGTGGAACCGAGTGTCATCGCTTGTGATGCCTGAGATGGCGAACTGGGAATCTACCTGAGCAAACCATAGACTTGGTCGATCGGCCCAGAATGGTGGAAGCTTTACTGCAACTCGATTCACTGATACATTACCAGGGTCGTTGCGTTGCTGAACGTTGGGGGAAAGTTCATTTTGTTGCTCTCGTAGATTCGCCAATTGAGCTTAGATTTCTTCTAGCGACATTGGTAATATTGATGAAGGAATGTCGTGCTGCTTGTTGTCGTTGTTCTGGGTCACCAATATATAGCGATGTTTAGTCTATATGAAACAATATCACCACTATATGAACGAGTATCTTGATAAAAGTTTTATTTACAAATGAATGATGAAGTGTGTCAAATCATAACATAGTCAAAACTAAACATTTTAACAAAAGCCAGCAACAGTTGTTAAATAATAATTATTAAAATAAAGTATAGACTAAAGGCAACACAGATGTGGCTAAGTTGACGCCACAAGCTTGCTAAGTTTTCCAACTGATAGATTTGTAGACCTACAACATACTTTACTATCAAGACCCGGCTATCGCAGCGAAAGATAATGTTGCAGCGGCTTCGTTGTGGGTTGATAACCACGATAACGAATGAAAATAAGTTGTATTTTATAACAAACAAACGACAAACTTATTAAAGATTTAACCTATATTGTACAACATAGTGAGTGGGTAATGATTTAGGCTGCAAACAAGTTGAACAATTTTACTTTTAAGAAAACCTTGTTGATTGGTTGTGGACTTTTATTATATCTTCAACATTCTTTACTTTACCGAGTCCAATGGCATGATAAAGTAAAATTGAGTAGTTTTATTGTTTTATTTATTTAAAACGCCGAATGTAAGTAGTATAAAGTGTTTATTTTTGTCCTAGAGATAAGCCCAAATCCATGATATGTACTGTAGATAAATTATTATGTTTTAATTGTTATTGACATTGTCAGAAAGGCGCAAACTACGGCGTGAAGGCTATACTACTCGTATGACGAGGAGCGGCAGAGTCTAGGAGGGCGGCGCGGTGCGGCGGCGGCGGCGGCGTCGGTGCAGCGTTTATTGCAACGTGACGTCACAGTGGGCCGTGCAACGAGATCACGTGACTGAAGGAGGAGGGTTTTGCGATTTTTAAAGTCTATCGGAGTGACAGTTTGATGTTTACGACCAGTCTCGCCGGGGGAAGTCGTAAACCGGAGTCGCAGTTGGCGAGTCCGCCACACGGCGCGCCACCACCGCCCCTCCACCGCTGCACAGTGCACTCACTCTGATGCGCTTAACGGTTCACTCAGTAGTGCAAGTGCAGTCGACGACTCGACAATTGTAATCAGTTATCAGTTATCAGCGTGCTGTGCGAGTGCGAGCCGATGGGAGGCAACAACAACTACACGGAACTGGACCTCTCGTCTCACGGGCATAGTCACCCCGGTGGACAGAACTCTCGTACAGCACCCAACTGCGCTCGCTGTAGGAACCATGAGATCATTGTGCAGCTCAAGGGCCACAAGCGCTACTGCAAGTACATGCACTGCAAGTGTGACAAATGCATACTCACCGCCGAGCGACAAAAGGTAAGCCTCAACCACAGCGTACACTAAGAACTAACATTAGGCCTACGTTTTATAAAGTAGTATAGTTGTCTATTAACAAGTTTGTCTGTACCGCGAATCAAAAGTTTTCAGATGAACTGTATTTTGAATGTTCGCGCGACGCGGAAGTTATTGCGCAGGCCCACGGTGACACGAACAGCCGAAACTTTGATTGTTGCTTTAACAATGAACATTCCGAACAAAAGTTAATAGTCGTATGCCACTATATTGTAAGAATAATAATACAAATTTACCATCATACTCGAGTTATTAACATATACAATTAAAAAATTATCGACTTTTTAGTATATGTGACTAAGATTTACTGTACAATACTGAATAAATGCCAATTCTTAATTTTGTTTGGTCAACAATTAATTTAAGTCTGACTGTGGTCTAATACAGCAATAGTGATGTAAAATATTTTTTTCGATATTTCTTAGATATGAAATGAATCACGAAACGAACTTATTCGTAATGTTATTGGTTTTGATGGTAAACATGTCGACAGGTAGGTCTATATTATTGCATTCCCAAATAACTACAAGAAACAATCCTTTATAAAATATAAAATAAGTTCAATTTTAAATTTTATTTTATCAGTGATTTTAAATCAAAAGTAATCTGTCATGTCATTTAGCTTCTGTGAACTTCCATAATGGGCAATGTCTATGTTATAAGTGTGTTCAAATTATTTACAATTATGATTTGGCATATTAGAAATGCATAAAGTTTTACTGAGTGTAAAGGTTTATTTTATTCGTCATTTAAATAAATGTGTGTATGTATGTATGTACTATATATTGTGGGCCCTATAACAATTGTTGTAGACAAGTTGGCGTCCTGTTTTAAATTATTTTTGAAGTGCCAAAAATGTAATAGTTAAATCAAAACAAAATTCTTATTTCCTGTATTTAAATTGTCATTTAAAAGTTTGGTCTGCCCTGTGACCGCTCGTCGTTTACTATTGTTGGGCCCGGCGAGTGGTGATATCAAGTGTTTTTTTACGTAGACTATTTAAAAATATATATTATAATTTGCCTACGGAGTAAGATACTTGGTAAACGTTTTAAAAACAACTAAATTGTCAATTTGATAAATATATGATAACAAAATAACTACCGTAAATAGTTATAAAAACATTGTGCAACGTTTATGATCAGTTTCTTGAACTAGTGTTTATTAATGTATTACATCGCAGTTGATTGTAGTCGTTCACGATTATATCCTGCACATACTTTCTATAACACTAGCCATCAACGATGTTTTAGCGTATAGAAGACAATCAATTACAGCCGGTCCGGTAGTTTATATGACCAGAGATCCAATAAAAAAGTATTGAACAGTATTTTGTCATGTCACTAGAAAAATATCGTGTTATGGACATTTTTAATAGTTTACGTTTTGAAACAACTATCTCAAAATGTCTTCGTAAAGGATAATTAATCAGCTCACATTGTTTTAGAAACAAATACGTTGCTACGACGAAAAGAAACTTCGTTAATAGGCATTTTAGTTTAACAAGAGTTTTATTTGTAACTCACACCAGCTGCATTTAGCTGATAATAATTCATATTATTAAACATTTCATATAAAAAATGCATCATCATTGTTGGTTTTTAAATTATTGGGAAGGAAATGTGGATATTTTCTGTAGACATGATTAAACAAAGAATTGAATATGTTTGTTGTCATTAAAAAATACATAACAAAACATTTAAATTTCAAGATAAGGCTTGAAAAGACGAACTCTTTTAGGCCGGGGCCACACGACGCGGATCATCCGCGCGGACGATCCGCGCAAATGATCCGCGTGGTCCGACAACACATTGAATCAAATGAGAGTGGCCACACGGGGCGATCCTAAGCCGCCTGGGCGGATTGTCCGCGTCATGTCGCGGATTGTCCGCGCGATCATAAGCCGCGTTGGAGGGGATGACACACGTAGTCTTATGAGAGTGGCCACACGATACGGATTGTCCGCGCGGTTGGAGCTCATTTTTAAGCATTTGTAGTTGTTTTTTTGAGTTTGTGCTTGTGCGTTTCGGTTTATAGGTGTCGATACAGACAAATTAATAGAACTTGTTAAAGACAATTTGGGATTTATCATGTTGTTTTTCACGTTGTACATTTCTCATGAGTGTATCTTCCTTAGTTATATGTGGTCAAAGCAATTTCAGTAGCTCGTCAAACGATGCTATCTACATGCGATAGTAACAAAAAAAAACTCCGAACTATGGTTTCGCATGTGCTCGTAAAAGGTTTGGAACACAAATGGTTTATCAGTTATGAAAGGATGGACCCAATGATTTCGGTTAACCTTAGGCTCTAGCTCACCACACGCTTCTAATGCACAAACTAACATAAGTGTTTCGTCCATGACTACAACGAGAACGAGTGAATTTAACCATTTTCTAATCTTACAGTACTTGTACTACGTAGGCTGGGAAACCTCAACCCTAAGTGTGGCCGGGACATCGTCGCGCGGCTTATGATCGTACGATCATAAGCCGCGCGGACGATCCGCCACGTGTGGCCCCGGCCTTAGTGATTTTCCCCACATAATAAGCTATAACAGTAGGTCTCATGGTATGACCTGAACACGGGACCGATTTACTTTCGTTTTGACGTCCCCAGAGGCCAATAAAACCAGCCGTTCATATTTATATCAATATTATGTCCTTTGGCACGATAACTAGATTAAAAATTGTCCGATTTAAAGGGCCTCAAAACATAGACTTTTCCAAATGGTAGACAATTTTATAAAGGTCAAATCCAATAATTTAGTATCTTGAAGAGTTTTGTTCAATTAATGGTTATAGAGAATATTAAAAAATTGCGAATTTAAAGTGTCCATGCTTGCGGCGAATAAGCAAAATTTGGTAGTTTGAATGTTGTATATGATGGATAACATATTGATCAAACTCGACAAATCTATTTATACTAAACAATCAAGATTTTACTTAAAAAAACCACACTTTATTACCTTCCCTGTAGCCAAACCTAAGTAGCTACTCGTTAGTCGTTAAACCCAGTTAAACCTAACGTTATTAAATTGTGAATAAATTTGAGATATGGGAAAATTTAAGTGACAATTTAATGATGATGGAAATAATCTAGTCTGCAGGTTTAATGAGGTGGGGGTATTTATTCATGCTACAAATATTTGAACAAAATTGCCTCTAATGTTTTCCCAAAAAGAGTAATATTGACATAATATTTCTTGTAATTTGTAATCAACATAATTAAATGATGTTGTCCTATTTAAATAACATTATATTTCATGTCTACTTAAGTTTGCTGCTACAAGGAAGAATAAAGTGTTTTTGTTATAGGCCTATGTTATTAGTATACTTTGAAATAAATAAAGTTGCCGAATTTGATAATAATAAACAAACCAACTCAGGAGCTTTTTTCCCATAAAAATAATAAGGTAAGCCTACTTCAAATGTACAGTTTTTTTTATCTTATCCGTAACCTTAAATACTACAACAATGCTCCAATATATGTGAGCGTCCATGAACACGATAGCTCTAGTAATTATTGTCTGATTTTGACGAATTTGGCTTGAACGTGTAGTGCGGGATAAATTGATGATTTCGCGAACCAGCGAGATCGCGGCCATGAGAACGGGAAGTTGTGGAGTTCTGAAAATAAAAAAAACAATTTTTTTACAACCATCGTGTAGAGCCTAAAAAATTCGAAAAAAAACTGTACATTTAAAATGTCTATGTTATTCTTATAACAATTAAATTGTTGTAGGTTGAATTGAATTCACTTAATCTGCAGGTTTGCTGCAGCGGTATTTTACATTTGCTGTTTTTTACATCCTTTTAGTGTATCTGTACTCTGTACTTTATCTGTATATCTGTATTTTAGTACTATTACAATGTTATTGTACATAACTATTTTTGTAACGTTTCCATTTTCATACAAATTCAAAAGTATAATCTAGGTTTGTACTCCTAGATTGTACATTGTTCTAAATTTGTACTTCGTGTTGTTCTTGGCTAGACAGTTCATGCTTCGAATTAGTTTTCATCGACATGATTTGGTGAGATAAAATGTTTGAAACCTCTTGTTACACATTTATAACATCCTAAAGGACTTATAGGACGTAGTGACGTTGAAAATGCAGTTTCACAGCTTTACTTTAAAATTTCATTTGTAAAACTTTATCCTGTACCATAATATTGAGGTAGGGGTTTAAATGAACTTTTATCTTAATCTGGACAAAGTAGTGACTATTTTTATAAAGCAACAAATTCCTTCAATTTATCCATCAAAACTATAATTTTTATAACCGTTATTTGAAAATTGTCAATGGCGGTATTTCTTCTGGGCTAAAAAAGCTATACCAGGGAAGCTTGTGTAGTGGACGATTTTACCGACAACGGATCGCAGCTTGATGTCACATAGTATATTTTAGAAGTATTTCAGTTTTGTTGTTCGAAGCCATTAAATCCATTTGTAATACCTATTTACCTTTTAAATATTACAATGTTCTAAGACAGTTATTTAGATACTAATTTATAAGGACAATCTGGCTGTGTTTAAAAAATCAACTGAAGCATCAGCTGTCAAATTACATTTCAAATTGAACTAGGTATTATAAAGAAAGTTGGTCAGCATCACTGGCTCTTGAACTCTAGAACTAATTAAGCGCAAGGAGGCGAAGCCCTAAATGAAATCACCATTTTCGTTACCATTCGTAACTCCGTTTGATCATAATCTTAAAATAAAATGACACGTTAATGGTACAAATCTGTTAAGTAGGGCGGCTGGAAAAGGGATGTAACAGGGAAAATCTTGATTGTATCAAGTATGGACACTATGTTTATTCTTGGATCTTAAAAAAATACGAGGTATGAATTAATTCAAAGATTTTGTGGAAAAATCAATTTTAAAATACTACGCGTGATTCCCGGTATCAGTCAGTGTCTCGAATGCTCCAAACTAAAGAGGTTATAATTAACATAAAAGAGCGTTGTTACCAATGCAATATAGAGTATACGAAGTATTCATCTATATTTGACCTTCGTTATTGAAAGAAAGTAACTAAAATTGTGATTATGTTAGTAGTAAGCAATCCACTTTGTTGTCATTAGCCTACTGACCGATTCATTGACGTAGGTTGCCGACGCCGACACACCAGGGACATTGTGTAGTCATCTCATTAGACAACTATAACTATTTAAAAACTGAAGACGAACAAATGTATGCAACCTATTATATTTTTCAAGATTTGCTAGTTTTTGCAAATGTCCCTTTTGTAGCAAATTTACCAACTGTTTACAACAATCTTTACAATTTCCACATTTTGACGTTGTGTTGCGTAGGTGATGGCGAAGCAGACAGCCATACGCAGGGCCCAGGAGCAAGACAGAGATAGGTTGAATAAGGGTCTACCAGTGCCTGGACGTGAAGTCACTCCTCCATCTACCACAGTCACAGTACACGACAATGAAGTCTGCTCGCCCGCCCCCGCCTCGACCACCGCGGCGACCATAGCCTCCGCCGCCGCAGTCAACTCCGCTCCCTCTACACCGCGACGGATCACCACTCCGCCACCCAGGCGACAACACAATGGTGAGTAGCATGTAGTAATAGTTTTGTGTTAAATTATTGAACCATTTAAATCTGGAAAGTGTGATCCTTGATTTTGACACCGTCTGTCTATTGGCATGTCAGTTTTCGACCATTCAGCTAAAATATTATCAGAGCATCGCAATAGTTACTCGTGAAGCGAGCGCAATGATTTTGAGCACGAAAATCCAGCTACCGTACGAAATTGAGCAAAGCACTGAAGTGGCAATAATGGGTTCCCTAATCCTTTGGTGATTTCGAGCAAATGGTCCTCCTAGAACTCTTTTGGATGATTAAACAGAGGGAGATGAGAAAAAACATTAAAATAAAACTAGCCTCTACTACATTTTTTTCCTGGCCTTGTGGCTTACACACTTGACAAGTCAACAAATTTATTCCTGAGTCTCTAAGTTGTTGCAGTTTATCATCAATAAACCTTTTGCGCACCAGGTGGTCCTTCGTTTGCTTAGTTTCTTATTTGCGCATTAATCGTATGTATGTTTCACATAGCACACTTATGAAGATAACAATGTTTGGTTGAAGTGACGTACAACCCATAGTCTAATGCGCTTGAAAACTTTCGCATCCTATGGGCTGGCCGAGAAATTTCCAAACTTGTCAATAGTGCAATTTTCTAACATTGTTAAGGAGACGTTTTGGTGAAAATTGAATCAGGCAAATGGAAATGCAGTGTGCAGGTTTGCTGCGTCGGGAGTATTTTATGTTATTACCCTTTCTGCAAAAATACATCTAAAAGATAATCCTCATAAAACTCACGATAACAGCCTAGGTTGATACGGAAACGGTTATAGAATCTAACTTATTTCATTAATAAATAATATATTTTATCAATGACTTATTCCATATCAAATATTATTCCAGTATTAAATTTGTTCAAATCAACTGTGTGGGATTGTTAATTTCCATTATATTTGTCTTTTGAATTTACGGTTGCTAGCAGAGTGACAAGGGGTTGCATATCTTAGCAATTAGAACAGATGCATTGTCCTCCCAGCCCTGTATGTTCCTTGCTCAAAATCACCACAGGATTAGAGATCCCATTACTGCCGCTTCAGTGATTGCTCGAAATCAGTGCACCGTGTGAAGCAATCGTCCTTTAGACAAAATAACATTATTTTAGCGTTTTGCTAGAATTGTAATTGGTATTTTTTCGGCGACCCTAATACACAATATACCACATACATTTAATACATTTAATACCACAGCAACTAAGCGAAACTCAATTTGTCTGTTTGAAACAGGTCATATTTACCCCCATTAGCATTAGAGTACTGTTAGCAGAATAAAATGTAACAAGCCATAACACCCTTTTGGAATTTAACTTCCTTGAGAAGACCATAGACCTACTAAAGCCACAAGCCGCTCCGAGTCAAGCCAAAGCCCAAAAGAGTGACGAGCTAATCATAATTTACAGCAACGGGTCTATAAAGTCCTGGTCTGATTGGGGTGTGAAATAACTCTAAAACCAATAAAGAAGCTGATCAATACGCTTCTTGCAACTGCCTCATCTTAACGATGGGACCAACTGCATCATCTAGTCCCGCGACCGTCACACTCTTCAACTTTTGTAGATTGTCTCCTTCCTCCTCAAGTAAAGTATGTAAAACGTAAAAAATGTCAACACAATTTTTCAATTCTATTGTGAACCGGTTTCTATTGTTTATATTCAACTTCTGCTGGTATCCAAACATTAGTTTTCTATGTCATAAAACTGACAATGATAACAAGAAATAACAAAACTGTACATGTGAACATAATTTGCCGTGAAATGACTTAAATATAAAACATGTAAATCATTACCACTTACTAAAATAGAGCGTTCTTAAATCCTCTATTACCTTTGATCATCCGGTATATCTATTCTGCCGAAATTTACATAACAATTATGGGCAACCTATTTTTCACCACCTTGATGCATGCAGTGTATTTCAAACACATAATACGATAACGTTGTACCCGGACCCTAAAGTGGAAGAAACTCTGATTGCATAGATATAGTATAAGAATTAATTTATTTACTGTTTTTATTCGTCCGACTACGACATTCGTTATGTAGCTTGTAGTGAACGTTGGCGTTGCTTGTGAGATAACCAGCTGGTCTAGGCGTGATGCAGTAGCATATATCGTTCATGTAGAAGCCTAGTGATGGTCCGGCCACCGCCATGTTCATGTTGCCGTTGTTGGGATAGGTCCTGGACCTGTCGTGAAAGTGAGCAAGTCTGAAGGCCGAAGTTTGACCGCTCTCCGCCCTCCTTCTCTCCACTCCTCTACACCGGTACATGGACGTTGGACGAGTCTAGCCAGGCGCTTCATTTGCCAATTTGAATAAATTACGTGCGGCAATCACGTCCAGCTGGAAACCAAGTCTAATCATTAAGTTTAATTAATGCATCGGGGTGTAGATCGAACGGTATTTGACAGACGGACAGATTGACGTTGAGTGCAAAGGACAAAACCACTTTACTTAAACCTCGGTAATCCTTGGCTTTAACATATTGACGCATTTTTACATACTTTTTGCAAAAACGTGTTTCATTCGAGGTGATTTTCAAACACAATTATTTCCCCGTGAGCGGAATAATAATTTATTTTAAAATTATTATTGATGGTGGTTTTCGGTACGTCTAATTATTTATTTCTTTATTTAATCATCATAAGGCCGATAAAACGACAGGCTTTCCGTACGCGGAGGCTCGTCTTGAAAGTAACACAACTTGTGATATTTCGCGTCTAGTTGTTAATTTGTTGCATAAGTAAGCTGTACTTGAGTCGGGCACGTCATTACTAGAGATAAGATATTAATTATTGCACAGAATGCAAACTTATCAAGCAATTCATTATTACGATACCACATACACCTTATCGCTATCTCAGACATTAGAATAATACTGGCAGTTTTATTCCATTCTACAGTCTTTGTTCAAGAACTCGTTGAGAAAGATTAATATTTTTAAGTAATTCTGACAAATTAATGCCTAAATGCATTAATGTGTTCTCTATTTCGTATTACCAGCATTAGAAGGCCGTATCATGAAATATCCTTACATCAGATACAAATATAAAAAATAGATGCTGTCATTAATTTAAAAAATAAATTTTCAAATTATGCTACAGTTTGTGACGTCTAGCTGTTTTAAGATTTTAATAAATCTAGAGGACCCATGCTTCTCCGCAGCTTTAAAGTAAATATAATATCCGAGAAATAATCAAATTTATGATTTTTACATCTGCAAGTAAAAAATGGAGGAATTGGTTTAGTTGATCCTACCGCTCAGGGAAAAGCATTGTTCCGAGCTTCAAATAAATGCTGTAAATTCATCATAGACTCTCTAAAAACTAAGAGGAAAATAAGCATGCAAGAACATGAAGAACATTTGGTTATCTCAAAAAAGGACTTGAAAGAGGAGAGAAGATTAGAAGAAGAAAACATTTTGAAATCGACTATTCAAAATCTTCCTCTAAAACAACAAAAAATTATCTTGCGAGGAGCAAATACTAAAGCGAAACACAGTAGATGGCTGTCATGTATTCCATAAAAAAAAAACTCAATTTAGATCTTTCTCCACTGGAGTTCAGAGATGCTCTTGCACTAATATATGGGAAAACTCCAATACACCTCCCCTCTTCATGTGATGGCTGTGGCAAAAACTTCAGTATGGAACATGCCCTCAACTGTCGCACAGGTGGGATGATAATAAGAAGACATAATGAGGTAAGGGATACTCTTGGAAGCTTGATGGAGCTAGCATGGGAAAACTGTGTTCGAGAACCAATGATCTCTGAGCAAGGGTCATTGGATGCTGCAGCACTAAATGCAGACTTGGCTTGTAGGGGTGTATGGGAGGTTCAGACGGAAGCATTATTCGATGTACGTGTCGTTGACACTGATGCTCCATCGTACTTGAACATCCCATACGAAAAAGTTCTGGAGAATGCAGAAAGAGAGAAGAAGAAAAAATATTTGACAATAACAGAAACAAGAAATGCTTCTTCCACCCCAATAGTCACGTCTGTGGACGGAATGCTAGGCAAAGAATTTCAGACCTTGCTCAGAGCAATGGCAGAATGGCGCACATGAAAAGAGCCCAAAAACTCAGGCAGACGCTTGAAAAGCGCCCGGACCTCCAAGGTCCCACCCATGACGGTGCGAAAAGAGCCCTGGCTCTTTCTAGAACTTTCACAACGTCTCTTCAAAGGAGAAGAACCAATAACACAGTTGAAATACATGAAATTATTTACAATATTAAAAGATTCACTGTTAAAAGATACATTAATAAAAAATATATTATTCAAAGATATTTACATTAAGATATAGTCTGTTTACCTAACCTAACCTAACCTAACTTACCTAACCTAACTTAACCTAACCTAGCCTAACCCAACCAAACACAACACTATTTACTAAAACACTACTATATATACACACAATTTATAGTCAGCGTCCTCCTCCTCAGGTACCTGTGGAGACCCGGGCTCTTTCCATGCTTAAGATTAGTGAACCTTTTTTGGGATTAAAATTTCGGGCTCTTTTCATGTGCTCCGTGGCAGAACGCCTCACAGAAAAATGGAAGAAACCTTACAGTTTAGTGATGAACTGGATAAGGGTGAAAACCATCTGTGCGACGTTAAGGGCCAGCAGCATGTGTCTCAGGAGGACAAGAAAGAAGTGGAGGACCCTTAGAGAGTTCGAAGATGGGGCTGGAGTACCAGCTTTTTATTAATCTAAATAGAAAAAGTTTTATTTTTCCATGTCAAAAAATTTAAATAAAGATTGCTTGTTTGTCTTTTTTGATTGAGTAATACAGTATCTTGAACGTAGCTGATTCAAACGATCAACAGCACAACAGCTCAAATTATAGCCTACAAGTTACTGATTATTTAGAGTCTAAAACATATAAAAAACATGAAGAATACTGGAGCTATTGATTTTTAATCACAGAAAAAACCTTATGAAAAATAATTTGTATGTTGGTTGTTCACCT